AACACACTTATCATAACAAAGATACACTTGTCTTAAGTCTATCGAAAATACACTTAACAAAGGTAATACATGTAATTGAGCTTCAACTAACTCTGAAAAACCACAATAACCTTCTGAAAATACAAAAGTGTAAAAATCTAGAAACTACTACATCAGAACAAAATGGACTTACCCTAGCCCAGTCAATCTAGAGCTAACACGAGGTGTAAAGGCTATTAATGAAACTTCGGCCAGCAACTAACATGAGGTAGATCTTTGACTACTGTGGTGTTGTCTGTACCAGCGCTGTGGGGTGAATGACTCACTGAACAAAGAGCTGGCAATAAACTAATGTTGAACAAGCTTAGCTATCAAACGAGGGCGCTGCGCAAGGGCTATGTGTAAATGACCTGTCACATTAGAAAAAGAATAATTGTACTTGGATTTTTTTACAGTTGCCAGATTTGAAATTAATCATGCTTGTACTTTAGTCCCAGTAACCTCACCATTTGTACTCCTCTTTTTGGAGCTTTGGATTTACCAGTCACATAAACAATCAATCCCAAATTCAAAAAAAGACTAAAGAATACAAATGGCAAGAAGGTCATGGTTACGTGGACACCTACATGTGTGTCTATATGTTTGACATGACCCAACAATTAAAATAGTTTTGGGTCATGATTGCAAAGGATAACCCACATACATAAATCTGAAGCTTGAAAAAAAAATTGAAGGAACCTATGCCAGTTGCCGGGGGACCACTCTATCTACCGCTACCAATGCTTTAATTGCATACAAAGATGTACATGATGTACTACTTCTAAACTGACATACTCTTGAGTAAGCTGACTTCAGGTGGGGAAATAGTGAAATCTTTTCAGTAACTGAAGTCTGGATAAAAAGTCATATACCTTACAACTGTAAGTCTCTCAGACAAGATGCATATTTCACATGCAAACTTCTGCTTCTGCTCCATATTGCAAACACCCTTGGAGGGTTATAAACTAGATAACTAGATTCTTTCTTGGATTCTGTAGTGAAACAACCTCGCAAACCTGCCATCTACCAACATGTCTGCCTTGCTTCATGGTGTAACTGCCAACTTACTGAATTCAAATTTCCCACCAACTATACACACAGGACTCGATCTGCAAGGTCAGCAGTTGATGCAGCTAGAGTCCATGCAATGAAGCAGTTGAATGTCCACTGCATGGAGTCTGGGTAGCACACTTCTAATTATGGCATTCCTTCTGACTTTATATAAACAAAGCTGTTCTTGAATGCTGTGGTGGCTTGTAAATGCTAGCGGGAATGCTATTTGGACTGTTGATCATAACAGTCCATGATTCATTCAATCCTTTGCATGCTACGTGAATGCTACAATAGCAGTTACATACTGTCAGAATGCCATTGCAATGCTGTCGAACTGCTATAACAGCAGTCCAGTTTGGTAAGGGTTTCCGTAGCTTCTCAGCACTGCAACAGCAGGCTCTCAAGGCATCAGTTGGTACCAGCTTTTCTCACAACACATGACACCACGTTGGTGGACTTGGAATTCTATCATTCGGATATACTGATTCAGAAAGAAACTGCATATGTGGCGGGTGAGGCTACAATCTTAAGGATTTGCATGATTGTTTGACTACACAATGTAAGACTTTAAAGATTTCCCAGTTGGGTTAAATTTGAAGGAAGTGTGTATATATGTACATAACAGTCACCCGGATCTTATCATGGCAGGTCGACTGGAGGAATCAAACAGACCTTCCAGGCTCAGTTCCAGCTACTCTCAAAGTGATGGATTTTGCAGCATTTCCCAATGTAGGAGTGATAATGTGGATTGCAGCAACTTTTCTGGTCACTGGTTGCATTTGTGAGGGTAGTATAAGTAGCTTGCAGTGGCTGAAAACATTTAGGGTCTACAAGGTAGAGGGTCTTTGCTACTCACTTCATCACTGAAAATAACACTTTTTTAGAAGGCAAATATTATCACAATGATTCTTGATTGCATTACAGAACTACAATGACTGAACATCGCTTGAATGGGCTTGCCCAACTCATGTCTGCTGTGATGTACCAATCAAAATAAAAGAGGTTGTAGAGAGGTTCACTTGTGCCAAACCACGTCCAATGCAAGTTGCAAAACTTCTGTTCAATAGACAAGTGACCTTACCAACAGACGTAACGATGCAAGATTGACAGCTGCAACTTTACTTCAATCATACAAATAAACTGAAAAAGTTACTTAAGGCTTAATTACATGGACATGTTTGGGATGCAAACTTTTATAAGAATCTCCTTTCCATTTCATTTTGTAAAAGAACGGTGCTCACATTTTTTTTGTCGTTTTGTTTCAACCCCTTTCAAAAATGAAACCTTTCTTTGGTTTTTATGTATCTTGCCATTAAATTGAACCTGATATTTTGGGCCACTTATGAGTCAAGCTTTCATTTTGTTCATTATTTTCTGGTTGCACTGTTCAGTTGCTTCACATAATTGAACAATTTATTTAGTTCCACTTGAGACAGTGCCAGTCTTCAGTAGTTTAAATAAGGCAAAGTAAAAATGAAATGTTTATCGTCCCTGCACACTTCCTTTTCGGAGGCCGCCTGGATTTTTTTTTTAATTTTTGAAAAATGCAGTTAAAAAACACTGGAAAAAGTCCTCAAATTCATCAGAAAATAAATACTTAAAGTGTAAAGAGTCTAGAGCAAGGCAAGTTCACCGGAATCTGTCTGCACATACTTTATGTACATGTACTTCGTAGCCAGAATGTGACAGGCATGGGACTTCAGTGCATTTCAAAACGAATGGGTTAGGCTTGGTTTGTGGTTTCGCTGCAGTCAGAGTCTTGAATGCAATTTGGAATGCTGCATTAAATGGCTGGAATCAGCAAAACCGACGACTAAGCCTAATCCGCTTGTTTAGGAAATGCCCTGAGCTCAGGCTCAAGCACGTGTTTAAGGAATTTGCTCACATGGCCATAGCCTGTTTCCTGATCCCATTTTCATTGATGCAATTGTAGCACGGAAAAATGGCACCCTAAACTAAGTCTGAATAAACAAAAAAAATAAGAATTGGGGGAACTCGCTAAAAAAACTTCAAATTTGATCGGGTAGGGAGCAGTCGCAAGGAAAATTAGGTGGAGGCAAACGATCGCAAATTTTATAGAAAGGAGGAAACAAAACCAAAAAAAAAATGAAATTCCAAAGTTTATTGCTTAGGGGCAA